ACACAGACCAGGGATGTGGTTCCCTTTTCCCCAACCAGCGCACCCATCCAGCCTTTCCACTGTGCCCAGCCTTCCATTTAGGGGTGTTTTCATCCCCAAAACCCCCTCCCATTATTCCACTGGTCCGTCTATTTTGCATCTCAGTCCTAGGATGGCTGTGTGGGTGGGGTTGTAGGTGATTCCCAGGAGCAATTGGCTAATTAACATTTCAGTGTCAGTACTTAGCTCGAGCCGAAGTGTCCCAGCCAGGCTGTTTTGTTCATAACAAGGGGGACGCTCCATCCCCAGCGCTCCCACGCTGGCCCCTGGCAGGTCCCTCCCCCTGAGCCCCGTAAGCCTCTGAGAACCCTTTCAAGTGATTTTTTGGGCTTTAAGCTGAGTCTGTTTCGTGGGCAGCCTTGGCAGCCCGAGTTTCTGCTCGTGTCCCTTTTCTCTGCTGTGGAGGGATCCCCTCTGCCGGTAGAGATCGGGTCGGGGTCACTCAAAGTGGGCAGCAAAGGTTTCAGCTCAGGTATCTTTACCTAACAGCTGAACAATCCCGGCTTTCCCCTGCAAATTCCTTGAACACCGGGTAATTCTGGGTGTGTTATCACAGGGCTTTCAGCTCTTGAGGGGATAAGAGGACAGCGACAAACTTCACTGGTGCCTGTTGTGACAGGATGAGGGGTGATGGTTTTAAATTGAAAGAGGATCAATTTAAATTAAAGAAAGAAGGTCTTTATTACTGGAGTGGTAAGGCACAGCACAAGTTGTCCAGAGGGGCTGTGGCTACCCCTGCATTCCTGGGAGTGCCCAAGGCCAGGCTGGATGGAGCTCTGAGCAGCCTGGGCCAGTGAAGGTGTCCCTGCCCCTGGCAGGGGGCTGGAGTGAGATGGGCTTGATCCCAATCTTCTGTGATCGCCCGAATGGCTCAGCAGCACAGCAGGGGAAGCCTGGGAGGTCACTGCAGTCACCACGACCTGCTGGGTTTGCCAGCCTGCCACAAACTCTTGCTAAAGCTTCTGTGACCCTTCTTCCTAATCCGCTCCAGTCCAGCCTGTCTGGCCCCCCCTGGTGCACCCAGAGGTGGAGTCAGCTGCACTGTGGCTGTGCTGGGCTTGGCAGAGCCTTGGCAGAGCCTTGGCAGAGCCTTGGCAGAGCCTTGGCAGAGCCTTGGCAGCTGGGTGCTGCCTCTGTCCTTCTCCCCATGGCTGTTCCTGCAGTGCCCTGTGGAGTGTCAGCTCCACGTCAGGCGTGTGGAGCCAAGAGCCTCTTTCCCCAAATGCCCTCTTTCCCATGCATGGGTTTGTTTCTTGTTTCCATCTGGAGCTAAAAAGCAAATTCCCATCGTGGGCGAGACAGAACCGGGATCTGCTTCCACCTGAGATGTGCATACTCCTCCTGCTGAGCTTCTCCATGGTGACAAACCCATCAATTTCCCTGAATTTTCCATGTATCAAATAAAGGCCTCAACTTAGAGAGGCTCGGTGAAGATGATCCATCACAGGGCACACTGTGGGAGAGAGCCAGAGTGACCTCTCCTCTCCTCTCCTCTCCTCTCCTCTCCTCTCCTCTCCTCTCCTCTCCTCTCCTCTCCTCTCCTCTCCT